TTTTCCTTTTTATTTATTTTTTTTTTTTTTTTTTTTTTTTTTTTTGTGGTGGGAAGACCAGCCAGCCAGCCAGCCAGCAGGCAAGACAAGCACTTAGATGACAAGGATACCTGATTTACAAATTCTCCAAGGGACAGAGTAGGTCCCTGCTCTGAAAGAACTGATCTCTCGGGGGGGGGGGGCATCATTATACTTCAGCCTAAGTACAGCTGTTCAAAATCTAGGCGGTATGGAACTCAACACTGTTGCATCAATATTTTGTGCCCTCCCTTATGGAAGAGGCTTAGCATTTTCTTGTAGTGGAGAAGGATGGTGGAATTTCACTTCTAAGCAGTTTAAAGACGATGCCAAACACGTGAGTACAATACTTAACAAGAGAAGCATTTTATAATAAGAACAGGGCAATAGGATTTGATTAAAACCATGCTGCAGTGAAGTCAGTTATAGGCAACCCTTGCAAATCATGTATCACTAACTCCTGCAAATCGTAAATTGATAACTAGCGCGTGTAAGCCTTTCTCTTGGTTTTAATTAATTTTTATTTGTTTATTTATTTTCAAAGTACAATACCACATGGGTTGTTTCCATTCAATTAGATCTAAGTTAAAAATGCTTATGATTGCCAGTGGTGGTGACACATGCCTTTAATCCCAGCACTCGGGAGGCAGAGGCAGGCAGATCTCTGTGAGTTCAAGGCCAGCCTGGTCTACAAGAGCAAGTCCCAGGACAGGCTCCAAAGCCACAGAGAAACCCTGTCTTGGAAAACCAAAATGATGATGATGATGATGATGATGATGATGATGATGATGAATGGCGGCAGGAGAGATGGTTCAGTGGTTAAGAGCACTGCTTGCTCATCCACATCACTAGGGTTCAATTGCCAGCACCCAAATAGCAGCTCACTGCAGTCTGTAATGTCAGTCCAGGGAGATTCAATTCCTCCTTCCGTCCTCTGCAAACACTGCACACATGCAAGCAAAGCACCCCTACACATAAAATTTTTTTAAAAATCTTTTTTTAAATGCCTGTGAATAAAGGGAGTTTCAGTCTTCGGGGCTCAGAAAGATTCCATTAGGATGTTGCTTCGAACACAACACCTTTGTGTTTGCTTTGGAGAGACAGTGTCATTTTCTGATCAGCAACAACTTCATTTGTTCAGTATATGTGTGCTAAACTCTGGGGTTATATACTAGAACCATAGCTGATTTATTCAAATAACCATGTGGTGTAGCTCAATGAGTAGAGTGCTTGCCTAGCATACTGAAAGTGTGTGTGTGTGTGTGTGTGTGTGTGTGTGTGTGTGTGTGTGTGTGTGTACGTGTATGTGTGTGTGTGGTGACAAAGGGTATGGGGACTGATGCTTGTAATCCCAGCACTCAGGTGAAGGAGTCAGTGGGATCACAAGTTCAAGGTCATCCTCAGCTACATTATAGGATGTCTGAGGTGGAAATGGATGAGATGAGACCTTGTCAAAAACAAAGGGCTGGCAAGATGGTTCAGCAGTTCAAAGTGCTTGCTGACTAAGCCCAGCAAGCTCAGGTTAATCTGAGAACCCACATACAAATAGAGAGAGAGAATGGACTCCAAAAAGATGTCCTCTGATTCACACACACACACACACACACACACACACACACACACACACACACACACACACACAATGATAAAAGCATTTTAAAGTTAAGTCAAACAAAATAAATTGATCAGTGTGGATGATTTTTCTTTACTCGGTGGTGCAGTTTAAGAACACTACAACTTTTGAGCATTATTTATTTCTATGACTCCGTTGTTTATCTCTTTCCAGTCACTTTTCATATGTGGCCATCATACCGCAGCAACTACAGTTTTGTTTCTTCGGGACTACAACAACATACCATTGCCACAGCAAAGCTTGTAGCCCCCTACTGCCATGCCAGGCTGCGGTCACTGGGGTTTTCCAGTCTTATTTGTTTTAAGAAAGATATTCTCGCCCCTAGTTTAAATGTTCCTATGTCTCAGTGACTGGGTACCCTGGGACAAACTGAAGACTTAAATACTTACATTATTAGAAAAGAAGCTTTCCTTCATCGTGGTTAATCTTAAGACCTGTCCTTTAGTCTTCTTTTTGGACTTGCATTAAGATTTTCAATTTCTAAGATGCTGTCTACATCCTAAACAGGATTTTACTTTAAGGTAACAATGCAGAGTTTCCACAGGTACACACATAATTACATCTGACATCTACTCTAATTACATCTTTCTATAGTTATGATTATCGTCTCTGTCAGTTGTAATGATGATTAGAACTTGGGTGCAGGAAACACTTTTGTGTTGGTGAAAACAGTTTATATAGAAACCAGGAAATGTGATAAGCCTTTTATTTAGCACTTTTGGTATCATTTGTCAATCTTTGCATATTTCATGACTAACTTCTTGGCTTTCAAGAGGCTTGTTTTGCTTTCATGTCTTCTAATTACCGTTTTCCCCAATGCTGGTTATGATTTCGATACTGGCCAGCAGAAAATCATTCACTTTGTTCCGTCTGTCCTCTAATTCTCAACTGCCACACATGACTGAGAGCATTCTTGCTCTTTAGCAAAGACAGACAAAAACAAACAAACAACAAAAACACTGTTCTGAAAACAACATTCTGCCTATCCCAAGTGTTATAAACATAAACAGGGTTAGGTTTATAAAAGGAAATCTACTGCTTAGTGCTCACTAATGGAGAGTAAAATTAGAGGAATAAATGGGAGAAGACAACTGCTATCTAAAATGGGTACATAAAAATTCCCAGAAAGGAAGAAATAACTGGACCACCTTATTTAGAATAAATGGTTAGAATCAAAGATCATACAGAGAAAACTTCCACTTTTACCATCCATTTGGGTCATCTGAATAACATAATGTTCCTCTTTTTTCTAGATCACCATCTTTATTACTTACATGTACACTTTATTTCTTAAAACTAAATTACCATTAAAATTAGTGAGCCTCTCCCTTTTAATTCATACATGAATTATATCTAAGTATAAAAACTCAATGTTTACAATACATGAATTATTTCATATTAGTAATGACTATAGCAAAGCTAAAGATATTTTCTATTTAACCAAGTAAACACAGGCAGAATATACCTGTGTCCCTCTATTTTCATAAAAACAATAGACTTCACCTTTATTTGCATATTTATTAATGTGAGTTAATAATGGCATTATTTTAATAACAATTAGTGTTGCGTGCGTGCATGCGTGTGTGCGTGCGTGCATGTGTGCGTGTTTCATTAGACAAGGTCTCACTATGAAGTCCTAGCTGACCTAGAACTCTCTGCATTGGCCAGGCTGGCATCAAACTCCCAGAGATTCGTCTGCCTCTGCCTCCCAAACCCTGGGATTAAACAGTGTGTACCACCATTGTTTAAAATATTTGTGAAAATTAAATTTGTATTTTTGTGTGCATGTGTGTATGAATGTATGTGTATCTATGTGTCTGGGTGCCTAGGGAGGCACAAAGAGGACCTTAGGTGTTTGAAGCCAAGTTACATGTATCTGAAGCCACCAGATATGGGTGCTGTCATCCGAATCCAGCCTTCCACTTGAAGCTGGGCATGTTCTTTTTTATTTTGTTTTGTTTTTTGTTTGTTTGTTTTTTAAGACAGGGTTTCTCTGGGTGGCCCTGGCTGTCCTCCGACTTGCTCTACATGCCAGGCTGGTCTTGAACTCAAAAGACCTGCCTGCCTCTGCTTCCCGAGCACTTGGATTAGAAGCATGCACTACCACCACCTAACAATTGAGCTCTCTCAATGCAATGATGTGATTCTCCAGTGGATTAAAATGTTCTGTCTGTTTTCCTAGTCCCTGCAACTTGGAAGGATGAAGAAGGCATCACGAAGAAAACAAAATCACATTTAAATAATTAGAATGGATGGGAGAAATAACTTGCAGTTTATTAACATCAGGTAAAAGAAGCCTCCATGCTGAGGAATATTATTTTTTGGTTCTATCCACTCTGTTTTACTACCTTTCAGATTCAGGACATTTTTTGAGCTGGGCATGGCGGCACACACCTCTAATCCCAGAACTCTTGAGTTCAGGCCAGCCTACTGTACGTAGTGGGTTCCAGGCCTGCCAGGATAACAGAGTAAGAACCTGACCCAAAATATAACTAACTAAATAAACACAATTAAAATTTTTTTTATGTAAGAAAAACAGACTTAAAGATTTATGATGAAATTTCTTCAATTTTAAACTGCAAATCAGAATATAAAAATTAAAAGCAGCTGTGATACATAGAAGGCTGACGATGACTTACCATATATTTCAAGTCCCTAGAGACTCACAGAATAGAATTGGGTTGGTACAGGCAGACACAGTAATCAGACCCAAACACATATGCCATTTTTCCATGTGGAACGTGTTAATATTTCAGCCCCATGAAATAGTGTAGTAGCTAGAACTTGGGTTTGGGTTATGCATCTGAGAAACAAGAACAAACAGGACCCTGCTTCATACCACATGCAACACTGAAAATTGGATTAACACTCAGATTCTTTTTTTAATGAGGCAAAAATATTTAAGACAATTTCTCATGACATTGAGGTAAGCAAAACATGCAGAGCACAACAGAAATCTCAGAAGTCATAAAGGAAAAGGCATTTGATCAAACAATTAACAATTTCCATTTGACAGAAAACGTTATACCCAGAGGGGGGAAAATCACAAGGATGTTTTCACACACATAGCAAATGATTAACACCTTTAAAAACTGGACTCCTAGAATTTGAAAATGGAAAGATGAGCTATGAAAATGAGATGAAGACAAAAGAAACTCAGATATCTGACACACAAAAGCAGACTCAGCATTAGTGGCAGGAGAGAATGGAAGATCAATCATTAGAGACAGGAAGGCTGGCAAGAGTTTAAAAGGGACATCTAATGCAGAAGGAAATGCAGGAAATGGGAGGTGGCTTGCTATTCCTCTGGGTAATCTAAGGATATCTATTAGAATTAAAAACACACATACCGTTTGACCAAGCAATTCCACTTCTGGGAATCTACCCTATAGGGAAAAAGGACGAGTATGTAAGTGTGTAAACACAGAGACATTCACGGCAGCATTGTGGTTGTGCATAAGGGTTGGCAAGGGCAGTACTGATATAATATGAATGTCCATCAATAGAAAAACGAAACCGCCAATCATCTATCACATCAAATATTACATAATCATCTAAATGAATGGGATAGTGTTGTTTTCATCAAGTTGGAAGACTGATAAAGTGAGAAACATGAACGGAAGAGTAAATGCCTAGCATCTTTGCTAAGATGGGTAGCAATGTGTGTGAACATGCTTTCCCACAAAACCAAGAGTAGAAGAAGCACACCAACTAACCTAACAAGTGCCATTTGAGTGATACATGGAGACAGCGTTTATGAGTGGGCTGGCTCACTAGTTAGGAAGAGCACAGTTGTGAGTTGTGTAAGTTTCAAAGTTACTTTTGGTGAAGAATGTCAGCCTCCATCAGTACAAGTACTCCAGGAATTCGTACTTGGTCAACGGGCACTGAAGGTACAAATCATCCTTTGTTGGCTCATGCTCATCTCACTGTTCATTCTTGGCGGCTTGCCATATCTACATTTCTTTCGTCTCCTCTCTGTGTGTTCACCATATAGTTTGGGCAACGCAGAGAAGACTAAACTCCCATTTCCAGGGACTCCTAAACTGTTTCTAAACCACTGCTCCATGGCAAACAATTCCAGGACACACAGTTGTAAATCTTCCAGTAGTCACATATTTCTTTCCAAAATTATAAAAAATTAAAAGTGTATCTAACTTCTTAATAATTGTAAGAATTAAAACATAAATATCTAAGGCAGGACCCAAACCGCATTCTAATGGTATTGGATTTCTGTGGATGGGAAGGCAAGCGTGTACATAGCATGTGGAGGCCAGAGGCTATGTTGGGTGTCTATTCTGATCGCTCTCTATCTGTACTGGCTGGTTTTGTGTCAACATGACACAGGCTAGAGTCATCAGAGAGGAAGGAGCCTCCATTGAGACACTGCCTCCATAAAACCCATCTGTGAGGCATTTTCTTAGTTAATGATGGATGGGGAGGGCCCAGACCTTTGTGTGCGATGCTATCACTAGACTGGTGTTCCTAGGTTCTATAGGACAGCAAGCTGAGAAAGCCATGTGCAGCAATCCAACAAGCAGCACCCTCCATGGCCTCTGTATCAGCTTCAGGAGCTTGCCCTGTTTGAGTTCCTGCCCTGACTTCCTTCCATGATGAACAGTGTTGTGAAAGTGTAAGCTGAATAAACCCTTTCCTCCTCAACTTTTATTTTTGGTCATAGGATTTCATGACAACAATAGAAACCCTAAGATACCATCCACATGTTTGAGAAATGAACTTTCACTGAATTTGTGATCAATGATTGGTTAGACTGGCAGGCAACTGAGCCCTAAGAATTCTCTTGTCTTCATCTCTCCACCCCTGGGATCATAGGCAACCCTTTCCACATGGATGTTGGGCATTTGAACTTGGGTGCCCAGCATTTCATAGTCTTGAGAGAAAACCTTCTAGCTCAGCAAATGCAATTTTAACATCTTTGTTCTAATACGATAGATGCCCCCAAGGTCATTCACTTCAACGTGGAATTAAAAACCTATGAGTGAGAAAACCCACATTCTTTCATTTCCCAACTCAGACTAGCCTGATGGCAAGCACTCAACACGGTCAGGTTCAGAATTTAAAGTGGACCAATCAGAGGGAAATTATTGTAGCAGGAGAAAAAAAGTTATCGCCTAGGTGAAAATGAATAATGAAAAGCAAAGTGTTCTAGGAACAGCTGGCACCCAAGGGGCACATGGCCCCAGGTCTACAAGCACCACTGACCCCTGGCTGTACTTGGTGTGGAGCATGGGCTTTTCAGTCACTCAGACCCTGGGGAAGGTTTTCTATTCGTTGCAATCAAGAGCTGACCAGTTAAGAAAGTCCTCAAAGGGTACTGCCATGCCCAAGCTTTCCAAAGGAAGCTAACCCAGATAGTCCAAATTTCTACCATGTACTCAAGGTATCCTTGTATACCTGGGTTTGGTAACCTTTGCATTACTTTTCTTGAAGGGCCTTAGTGGAGACCCTCACAGTAATACTTGCGCACCCAGGGCACGTTTCTAGTGGCCACACAAGGGTGATCCTCCTAGATGCATCAGAGCCCAGGAACTCTCAGGGCAGCCATCACCCCTCACTCTTCTTCAGCTTCCAGTTCCCTCTCTCTCTGGATCATGTTGGGCGGGTGACTGTTGAGGGTTGGAGATAGTGGTTTCCACGTGTATGGTAGGACATGTAACATTATTCTTGTCTTCTTTCTACTAGAAAGGAAAAGCCCCATCCGCCCCCAGTAGGCCAACCAACGCTATCTCTACATGTGGTCAAATAGCTCCGGGGGAGGGAAGACTGTAAACCTACTTTGTATTTCCTCCTGTCCTAGACCAATGACCAATCCCATTGTACAACAGGCATCGCTGTGCTACAGAGCACAATCCTTGTAGTGTGAGCAGCCCTCACGAGTGTCCTGTAGCTCAACCTTCCTGGGCCTCTCCTGAACTTCCTAGCCAATCTTTCTTTCTCATGGTCTGCTTAGCAGGGAGCCAGAATTCTCACTGTTGTTCTTTCTGGGGAAAAAAAATTATATATTCCTTCCAGTTCTAGATTCCCATCGTCCCTGGAGCTGTGCCAAGAACTGCTCTCCCAGGCATTTCCCCTGGACTTCTCTGAAAGGGATTTTCTGATGAAGTATGTGCTCACATCTGTCGCTCAAACCCCAGTTGTGGCCCTGGCTTGTGGGTCACTGTTTTCAGTCTTTTACACCATCTGAATGCAATTCCATCCCCACCTCACCATACTAACACGTCATTCCCTCTAATCCATCTCTAGGACTACACAAACGTTACAATTACTGCAGACCTATCATGGATCCTCAGATTGGCCCATAGTCTCCATGCAATTGTGGGGGGGGGGTGGGGGGATGGGGAGTCCTCTCAGATTTTCTTACAAAAGTGGAAAGACTTGCTCTAAAATTTAAGAATCCTGAGCAGCTAAAACAAAACAAAACAAAAATTTAGAAATGCAAAAAGCTGAAGGATTAGCATCACCACCTAGACTCAAGACTCACTATCAAGCCATTATCAAGGCACTGACATTAGGGCAAACAGATCCATGAAACAAGGGAAGTCCTTCAAGAGACACTCTCACACAGGGACAATTGAGCTTTGACAAAAATACACAGGATCTCAATGGACAAAGGACTATCTGTCCCAAACAGTACCAGAAGCATTAGATATTTCCATAGGAAAGCAGGAACTTTCATTCACATCTCTCTTGATGTGTAAAAATTAACTCAAAACTAAGCACAGCTCTGAACATGAAACTTCTGGAAAAGAGAGGGGGAAACTTTGGTAATTGTGCAGATTTCTGAGACTCCTCACCAAAGCATTTAAAGAACGAGTTAAAGGACCATCAGAATTCCAAACATTTGCTCTTCTGATTACAAAGAGTAAAAACTCACAGATGGGGCACTTCATTTACAGATTCAACATCTCTTATCCGAAATGTTTATACCGCGAGATGTTCCAGATTGCTGAATGTTTTAGACTTGGGGATTCTGGGTTGGGGATGCTCAGCCTGTAGCAGATTTATTCATAAAGGCCACAAATGACCAACTTCCCAAGTGTCATCAGAAGTGAATGGATAATCAGACAGTGACATTGCCAAGCAACAGACTATTACCTAGCAATGGAAAGAATTAGTAGTAACATATGCGGCATCTGTTAGAATGTGGATAGACCTCAAAATAGTTACAGTAAGTAAAAGAAGTCAGATCAAAACTGGGGGATGCTATTCCCAGGATCATTCCCTAACATTGTGAAAGTGAAACTAATCTCTAAGGGTGACAGATGCCTGGCTGGGGCACACAGGTGGAGGGAGTAATACAAGGAGCACAGGGGACCTCACAGGGGAGATGGGCAGTCCACACCCTTGCTGCTGCTGCTGGAGGAACTTGGCCACTTTATTTCTGTAATTTTAATTTTGCAGTGCTATGAGTTAAGAGCTCTACCACCGAGCATCCACACATCCCAAATGTGGACTGGAAACTACGAGCACTTTCCTATATACCAACCAGGCGTCCATGAAACTATCTTCTTACTGGGAATAAAAATGTAATCTCAACTGGCAGATCATGTAGGGTTACCAGGTTCTTGGGGATAGCTGAAGTCGGTCCATGCTACACGGGGTTCCAGGAGAGGAGGCAACTGGAGGAATGGTTGTTTCTCAGTCTGCTGTTTTACAATTCTGCTATGGCTTCAGAGCAACAGAATTAATTCCCAGTTCTTCGATATGTTAATGTATGCAGCCTGGGTAGTAGTAGATGTGGTTGGCCAATCTTTCTTTCTCATGGTCTGCTTAGCAGGGAGCCAGAATTCTCACTGTTGTTCTTTCTGGGGGAAAAAAAATTATATATTCCTTCCAGTTCTAGATTCCCATCGTCCCTGGAGCTGTGCCAAGAACTGCTCTCCCAGGCATTTCCCCTGGACTTCTCTGAAAGGGATTTTCTGATGAAGTATGTGAAGCCTAATTATCGTTTGGTCCACACTGTGGAGTTTGATGATAAGCTTAACATCTACAGAACAAATGTCCAGGGACTTGTTAACACTCAAGCATACTGGCCTCAAGATGAAAAGATCACACCCAGCCCCCGGGGGGTTAGGAACCCCAAATTCTGCTCATGTTTCACCATCAGTGTACTACCCGATAGGTCCCCTCCCCTCTTAGTTGCTAGACCTTCCCTGATCAAATAGAGAAGTCTAAATAATGCTTCTCTTAAGGATTCTCCCAGCTTTGACATCCTATGACTTCATTTTTCCAGGTTCCTCAACATTTCCCTGCCCCAAAGCACAGTTCCAAACAGGGGCCATACACTATACTGGGGGAGAATGTATTGTTGTATGAAACGGGCTATTGAGCACTCTCAAGTCACAGTTACATAATGACTGTGTCT